CCAAGCAAGAGGCCAAGTTGCTGAGAGCAAAAGAGCTCCCGGGCTGACTGTTCTCCGCAAAACACAACTTTAAAAACAAAGAGAGAGAGAGAGAGAGAGAGAAACATAGACAGCGAGAGAGAGAGAGCATGCGTGTTTGTGTGTGTTTGCGCTAGAAACTAAACTAATTAAACCGTACATAAACCCTAAACCCCAAAGCACAAAAGAGTGAGTTCTTTTGCAGAGCCAAGCTGAGAGTCGGCTGAACAGTTCCAGAGAGATGCTCCAGCAGAGAGCGGGCTTTTTTGGAGAGTTGAGGTTTTAGGGTTCTAGAGTCTAGGGTTTAGGCTCGAAGGTAAAGGTAATTAAGGCCTGTAAGGGTTTAGGGTTTAAGGGTTAGGGTTTAGGGTTTCGGGGGTTTAGTAGGGTTTTGGGTTGCCTGAGAGTTCAGGTGTTAAGGTTTTAGAGTCTAGGGTTTAGGCTCGAAGTTAAGGTAAGGGTTTAGGGTTTAGCGTTTAGGGTTTAATTAGGGTTACTTTAAAAAAAGCCGGCTTCTGCGAGCTCTCGATCTTGAAGAGCCCGGCTCATCAAAGCCTGGGATGGGCATATGTATAACATTATATATATATATATAGATAGATAGATAGATATGTATATATATATATATATATATATATGAATATGTACACACATATATATATATATACATATATGTAAATACATATACATATACATATACATATACATATACATATACATAAATATATATATATATATACATACATATACATATATATATATATATATATATATAATACATATACATATATAACATATGTGTATAATTAAGTAGTATACATGAAATCATGATATATATATATATATATAAATAAATATAATATAATATAATTAATATAATATAATATAATATAATATAATATAATATAATATAATATAATATAATATAATATAATATAATATAATATAATATAATATAATATAATATAATATCATATCATATCATATCATATAATATAATATAATATAATATAATATAATATAATATAATATAATATAATATAATAATGATTATTATCGTCGAGCAGCGTAGAGTGCTGCTCGAGAGCCAAAGCAAAGAGCTCCTCGGAGCATGAATTAATTAAGAGGGTTTGGGGAGTTTAGGGTTGAATTAAGGTGTACGGCCTAGTTTGTGTGTAGGGCCACGGTTTAAGGTTTGGGGTTAATTAGGGTGTTGAAGTTTTTGGTTTAATTACTTAAGAAGGGTTTAGTTAAGCCTTAATTAATTAGGTACATAGGGTTTAATTAAGGAATACCCCCAACGAACCCCAAACCCTGGAACCCCTTCACCCTAAACCCCGAAACCCTAAAACCGCCCCAAACCCTGGAACCCCTTGACCCCTAAACCCCGAAACCCTAAAACCAGAGCCGAGCGTCGCCAGAATGAAGGCATAGAGGCTCCACCCCTATGCCTCGGATAGAGTTTGGGGTTTAGGGTTTGAGGGTTTGGGTAAGTTTAGAGTTTGGGGTTTAGGGTTTCAGAGGGCTTATTTCAGGGTTTGGGGTTTCAAGTTAGAGGTTTCAGAGTTTAGTTATTTAGGGTTTAATTAAGGGTTCAAGGTTTAATTAATCAGGGGTTGTGGGTTTTCCGGTTTTAGGCTTTAGGGCCTTTAGGGTTTAGGGGTGTTGTTTAATTACATAAGGTTTTTGAAAGGCTTAATTAATTAATTAAAACAACCGAGCATCAAAGAGATCTTCCCCCTGAGAGGTTCCTCTAGGCCTCGGATGAGAATTAATTTAGGGTTTAGGGTTTAGGGTGGGTGTTTGTGGTTCAGGGTTTCAGGCTTTAACTAGAGGTTGCAAAAAAAAGTTGGTGATCACAGCAGAGGGTCCCATCGGTCGGCAGAGAAGCAGGTCACCGAGAGGGCTTGTTGTTCCAACCAGAGAGGGAAGGACACCTGCAGCAAAACATAAGCCATCTTCCCCCAAACCTCAATTAACTATTTAATTAACAACCCCTAACTAAGCCCTGAACCCTTTATTAACTAAACCGAGAGGCTCGTCGAAGCATGAGAGGCCAGCTGAACTGCCGATAGCAAGCGAACCTGCCATGTTCAATTAAGAATTAAAACAACCCATTGTCATTACATTATTGAGATATAACTAATTACGGAAAGAAATACGTTAATTAAACAACCAAGAAACTCAGCAAGGTAGCGCAGGCGGTCAATGACGATAGAGCTTTGGTTCGCAAACCACAATCCAAGCACACCCCCAAACTCCGGTGCATTGGAGATTGGAGAGCAGAGCCCGGACCTCCAGGGTATTCGTTACTTAGGGTTTAGAGTTTAATTAGGGGTTTAAGGGTTAATTAATTATGGGTTCAGGGCTCAAGTGGGGTTTTAGGGCTTACTTAGGGGTTTATTAATTAATTATTTCAAGTCGAGAAACTCCTCCCAGAGCCATTTCACAGAGGAGAGAATCTCGCTCACGTGCGCCGGAGTTGGCGCCATCTCCTGGGAGTGGCTTTAGGGTTTGATTAGTAAGTAACTAAGGTTAGGGTTTAGGGTTTAATTAAGGGTTTCGGGTTAATTCCATTGTAATTAAGAGTCGTCCGAGAGTTCGTGGAGGAGCTTCCAGATGCACTCCAGAGTTGCACCCAAAGCTCCCATGATGCCTGAGAGGATTTGGGAACTAGTAATTAGAACTTAATTAATTAATGAATAATTAATTAATAAATAAACCCTAAACCCTAGTAATTACTTTCTTTGTTAATTCACAACGAAAACGAAAAGAAGCTGCGAAATCTAGAGAAGACACAAACCGCCTGCCAAGAGTTCGCCGTGTGGTGCGGCTCAGAGTGCATGCGCGAGAGCTCGGCGTCCAACCACCTGATTTACAGTCCCTTAATTCTATACTGAATCACTAAATAAACTCAACCCCCATTAAGAAACAAAGCGAACCCCCCCAGAAAATACTTAAAGAAAGAAGAGGGCCTTCTCAGAGTCAGACGCGTGTGTCCTCCGCTGCGGCGGAGAGCGCCGAGACTATCGGCAGAGCGATGGTACGTGACCAGGATCGAAGAGATATTCCTGAGAGTTTGGGTTTAGGGTTTGGGGTTTAGGTTTCAATACCATTAATTAGGGTTTAATCGGGTTTAATTAATTAAGGTGTAATTACGGTCTAGGCGCACCACCAGCAGAGAGAGGCCCACCACACGGGCTCCGGTGTAGTAGCCAAGCACCGGCGGATCAGAGCCCCATCCCTGAGGTTGAGAGAATACAAGCAATATCCTAAACCCCTAAACCCTATAATTAACTAATTAAGGAATGAAGAGAATTCCAGACAAGTTGCATCCCCGAGAGGAGAGCCGGGTGCCGGTGGGCCCGGCGGTCCAGAGCCATGCGGGAGAGGGTTCCCCGGGCCAGAGCCTCCGCCACCTCCGCCGAGAGCAGGGCCGGCCAGAGCCTGCAGGGAAAAACCCTTTAAACCCTCGAGATTTATTATACTAAAGCCCATTTACTTAGAGTCCAAAAGCTCTCCCAGAGCTGCCTGGTCCGCGTCCGCGAGAGGAACTCCGGCAACAGAGCCGGGCTCCGCTGCTGGAGAGCCGCCCTGCAGGGCAAGAGAAACCCCCCAAAACCAGAGCACCACCCCTTAACCCACTGAACCCTCCTCGTCTCCCATCATCGAGAGATCCTCGGCCGGGGCCAGAGAGCCCGCCTGCAGGGGATTCCGAAATTAGAGTTTATTTATTACTTATTTTACAGAGGCCCCTCCTCTGCAATCTCAGAGAGAGCCGGCACAGAGGTTGTCGTCAAGGAGGCCATTGCCTTGGGGGATTGAGTGTAATTAGACAAGTTCTAAGAGAGATGTAGTTTAATTCATAATTACAAATAAACAAAAAAATAAGAAACAATACTGGATACGTATCTAGAGACGAGAGGAGCGGCTGCGTGAGAGTGCAAGAGGGCGATAATTGCCGAGAGCCCAAGCTGCTCGGCCGCGATAACGTGCAACTACTACTGTATTAATTACTACTTACTCTAAATATTACTACAATACTCGTATTGTACTACTCTACTACTGTACTATTGTATCAATACTGTACTTTTGTACTATTGTGCTATTATCATTATATTGTAGTACTATAATACTGTACTATTGTACTACTGTACTAATTATTGTGATACTGTACTACTGTACTACGACGACGACCCCCCTCAATAATCAATCCCCCCTACCCCGGGCGACAAATCAATCAAGGGGGGGGGGGGGGTTTATTAATAGGAGGTTGACATTAGCAATAATAATAGTAGTAATAGTAATAGTAGTAATAATGATATTAGTAAATATAGGCTTCAGTCAAACAAACCTAGGGGTAATGCGGGGCTTATCTGCTTGGCACGTTCTCCTTGTTGTGGCTGCAACATCAACAGTAGAAGAAGAAGAAGAAGAGGTGGTAGTAGCAGTAGTAGTGGTCGAAGTAGACGTAGAAATAGACTTAGAAGCAGAAGTAGTAGTAGTAGTAGTAGTAGTAGTAGTAGTAGTAGTAGTAGTAGTGGTGGCGGCAGAGGCAGTGGCGTTGGTAATGGTAGTGGTAGTAATAGCTATTGCCGTTGTACTAGTAGTCGTACATGTCTCTGCCCGGCAACGGAAAACAAGTGCTTCTCAACTTGCCGTGTCTACTGAACCCTGCACCCTATGCCTCAAAGCCCTAAACCTGAACCCCAAACCCTATCTCCTGAACCTCAAACCCCTAAACCCTGAACCTCAAAGTTCGAAATGGGAGTTTCCGAAAATTAGGGTTTGGGGTCCTGATAACAAGGATCCTACAATTTAGGGTACTACGGTTGATGATATAAATCCTGCATTACCCATAATAAGGAATATACGGTAATTATGGTATATTCCTTATTATGGGTCATGCAGGATTTATATCATCAACCGTATATTAGGGTTCCCTGTTTTCGGAAACTCCCAAATCCTACACCAAGCCGGGCCTCCAGGGTTTGCAAGGCATCCGGACGCTGCGGTGCCTTGTCGTAGAGACCTCAAGGACCAAATGACCCTGAAAAGTAGGGGCCCTATAAAAGTAGGGGCCCTAGACCCATATACTATGAATCCCCCCATGTGGTAGATGAACCTTAAACCCTTTTAGGGTTCATTTCGTCCTAAATTTAGGGGCCTCTCTCTGACGTCTTTGAGGGGATGGGGAGGGGGGAAGCCCTTGGGCTTCCCCGAAGGCTCCATGTGCCCATATGGTATCTACTTAGGCCTTACAGTACCTATATAGGGACTCCTTTAAGGCTTAAGTATCTACTATAAAGGTACATGGAGCCTTTGGGCTTCAAAGGCTTCTAGGCTTTAGAGGTTTTAAAGGCTTCAAAGGCTTCTGTGTTTTAGAGTTCGGATTTCAGGTTTACAGGGCACCGGGACTGCTGAAGGAGCACAGAGAACAGATGCACAGATGCACTTCAGTGCCTTACAACCCGGTGCTTCAAAAGCCCCTAGACGAGGCGGGCTCGCCGCGAACTGAAGGCTGGCGGACGGGTTGGGGGCTTAGGCTGGCTTAGGACTTTGGGTTTAGGGTTTAGGGGCCAGCACTTCCCAACCAAAAGTGTATGGAAACCTGAAGCATCAAACGCAGATGTGGCACTGTGACTAAGCCCTGTCACATAGTATATGGATCGGAATACTTCCTGAGAGTATGAGGTTGCCCCGTAATCCATACTTTAGATAAGTACAAGCTACCCAAGCTTGGTTTTAGTACTATAGTAACCCTTTGAAGAACCTGAAAGAAAACCTCTGGTCTCATCGTTGCGGTGGCTAATAGTACATGCGACACCCTCAGCCTACATATCGGACCTCGCAGGCTTCGCCACTCAGGCTAGCACTATACAGCATAGAATAAGAATATTCATTATAAACAATACTTATAAACGCGCGGCTCTAATGATGAACACGATCTATCTCGCAACTATTGCACCTGTACCTCTTGTAGAGACGTACCTATACACACGGGTGGTTGATAAAATTAGGGTCCCTCTTTGGGTACCTTAAATATTGGGTGCCGTGTTACATTAAGGACCCAACGAGGAACCATGATTTTGACAGCCAGCCACATATACCCAGTTTCCAAAAATAGAGGACCCTGATATAGTACCCCAAATAGTCGGATCCTTATATTAGGAGGACCCCAACATAAGGTATCCCTATTTTCAGAAACCCCCATTTACGCAATGACATGTACCGGGCCAAACGGCTTGTGAAATCCTGCAAGCAACTGGGCTAAAGCAACTCGAGAAACACGGGGGCCTGAAGAAAAGGTTTCCGAAGCCCTCAACACCAAGCCTAAAACCCTGAAACCCCCACTCCCTAGACATCTAAGCATGCACCTTAAACCCTGGAGTCCTAAACCCCACAATCCGCAGAACATAGCCAAAAACAAAAGAGTACCAGCCGAGGGTGCAAGCCTCGCTCGCCTAAAATGCGACTCAGCGCTTTGCTAGCCTGGCTCTGGTTTTGTTTTATCAGGGGCCTTCCACAATTAGAACAGGGCTTTGGGATATGTTCTGCTATATACTGATAGAAAGACATGTGGAACCTGCAAGGAGAGACCATCAGCTATGTAGACGAATCTGGTAGCTGGCTCGTGCTGTTGCTGCTTCGGGGTCGACATGGAGGTTCAGGGATTATAGGTTTAGGGTTTAGGCTTTAGGGTTTAGGGTTTAGGGTTATAGTAGAAGCCAGAAAGTTGGAACATCAACATCCCCATGCTTTTGAGGTAAAAGCATAGGGGACACTAGCACCAAACACTCCTAAACCCAGGTTCCAACTTTCTGTGGTTCACTGCAAGGAGTTATGTAGGGATTTTGGGATTTGTGGTGATTCATAGAAAGATTCAGGGTCTTGCCAATTTGGGGTCTTTTGGCCTAGATACTCTCTTCTTCAACAACCGGGCCCCAAACAGTTCAAACTTTTAAAGATAGAGCTAATATATAAGGCCAAAACGTTTAAAGCTGCCCCGCTCACTATCTAAGTACATGGTGCAAGGATCGGCTGTGGGGATTTGGGTTCAAACCCGACACTTGGGGTTCACAAAATTCGAGCACATATGTGGTGCGGTTAGAGGGTTTAGGGTTTAGGGTTTAAGGTTTAGGGTTTAGGGTTTAAGGTTTAGAGGGTTTAAGGTTCAGCGTTTAGGCCCACAAACAATAAAACTAAACCCCCATATTCACATACCCAACCCTCACAGTACATGTCTGGTTCCCTCGAATCCCGCCCTCTGCAAAAGGCACATTCGAACAGCCCAAAAAGCTTGAATACTACCCCCTCCCTTTGTAACATTTATTATGCATGCATACATATATATATATATATATATATATATATATACACATATATAGACCCCTTTATACGACCCCTAATATATTACTGTTGCAGAAACCCTAAACACGAAAGCATACACCCCTAAACCCTAACCTCAAACCCCTATACGCTAAACCCTACCCTAAGGGTCCAAAGGACCCAATAATCAAGTACTTGGGTTTAGGATAGTAGTTATGCAGCTCAATATTTCTGAGAGTATATGATTATTAGGTACTTGGACCCTTAGGGCTAGACAGAAGCCCGACATCCGAGCTTGGCCTCTGCTTCCTGGCTAGCAGTGCCCGTCTTCTGTGCTAGCTGCAACGCTCGCTCGGCGGTCTCCTGCTACAGTGCTCTGCTTCTCCTTCTTCTTATGCTGACGACTAGTCTTGTAACTACGATTTAGTAATGCTACTACTACTACTACTCCTGCTACTACTACTACTACTACTACTACTACTACTACTGCTACTACTACTACTACGACGACGACTCAGTTGTTAAGAATATATTCGGCTATATGCTTGCCAGGATGTCACAACCAGTATACTGAACACGTGCACCATCATGAGAAACACTTATTTCTCCCATTGCAGGGCTAAGTATCAGCACAATGTATGTTGTGATGCTGCTTAGTCTTGCTCTTACAGGACTACGTCGCTACCTATTGCGGACCTTGCCACCATCATCACCAGTTTTCTCTACTTCTCATGTAATGTTCGAGGCAGCTGCACGAGTCACAGGTGAGACTCTTCGTTTCTCAACGATTTTCAAACTCTCCTCAAACTTAGCCCTCTAGCGACGAAACTTCCATGTGAGCGTGTCCGTGGCGTCGATCATCTCGCCAAGACTCCGCTGCTGGTCTGCCTCAGAAAGTGTGTCACTCAGTGTTCTATTTCCACAAGAAGGTCTTGAAAATCCTTTATGCACGACGATCAAAGACGCGACTGTGACAGTAAAAGTGCAACTGGTTCGTTACCACTTTGCTTCGGTGGTTTAGGCTTTCGGGAGACAGGCATGTGCTTCCGGAAGCCATTCTACATGCATGGAACTGACTCATTCTGCAAGCCCGTGCACGCACTAAGTCTGTCTCGTGATACAGACACGCAGACAGACAGACAGACAGACAGATGCATAGATGTGCATACATATGTCAACCATCGAACTCTTCGATTGCATATCTTTGCAGCCCCCCTCATCCTGAAGCTGAATGCTGATTTGCGGCGTAGGACTTAGCTTCGGCAAGGCTTTGGTATTTGTTTTGCATTCTCGGTCGTACATGAATCAATGAAGCAACTCAAAGCGGGTATCGGGCTTGGGTTCCCTCCAAGTGCGACCAAAGGTCCGCCAGAAGCAAAGCTGTGGCTTCTCCGACCTCGTCCTCGGAAGACAAAAGCTCCGTAAGGCTTTTAAATATAATATGGATTCTACAAGCAACGTTTTGCGGGATGCTATAATGTTATAAGGAAATGTTAGCATGGCTTAGCAAACTGGGGGACAACATATCGGAGCAATTGACAAGGCGGCATCTTCCACGTAAGAGCAGTGGTGGAGCGTAGAAGTCGGGGCACGAACAAGCGAACTATAGTAGCAAAACATTACGTATGATCCCGAATTTAGTGTACGTTCTATGAACTACTTGTAGTTAGCCATGAAGCTTCAAGCATTATCGGACGTATAGGCTCTTGGGTCACTCGGGCCTCGTCCAGAGAACCCTAAGTCATGATTTAGGGTTTAGGGTTTAGGATCTCTCTCTCTCTCTCTCACTCTCTGGACTGAGGCTCTCGGAGACACAATCCTCTTCAAGCCCTCCTCCCTTGACTGATTGGTTGATAGATTGACAGTCAATAAATAATATGTGGTGTAGAATACTACAGATCTAAGCCCTGATATCTCCAAACCAGAAGCAACACCGTCCTGCAGCTCGCGTCGAATTTCTGCGGCCAGCAGGGCGTTCCTCACCTGTGAGTGAGGACATAGGCTTTTGGGTTTAGGGTTTAGGGTTCTTGGTTTAGGGCTGCTGAAGGAGGATTCTACGGTTCCAAAAGGTTGAAAGTTGATAGGTTGACCAAAAACCTTAAACAACCCTAAATCCCTTACAGTAACGCTCCTAGCAGCCCTTCTAGTAACTCCGTAGTAGTCCTTACCGTAACCCGCACCGCAAGCCTTCACGAGGGTAGTTCTCTAAATTGAAAGTCGGGCCTCCTTAACTTACATGTAGGTCAAATGCAATACGGCCCCCTTTGCAAAAAGGAGCCCCTAAAAGGGACCCTAATTTAGAGACCTACCTTGTAGTACCCCTAAGCCCTACCCTCATAGAAGCCCTCATAAGTCCCTTTGATTAAGGACTTCGAAAAGGGACCCGAAGTTGCCCCCACAATACCCTTATCGAAACCTGTAGAAACCCTCATAAAAGTAGATGCCCTTGGTTAAGGACCCTTAAACCCAAAAGCCCAAAGCCCTGACCACCAAAACCCTAAAAACCCAAGGACCCTGAAGAGGGAGCTCAGTTGCTGAGCTCATAAGCCCCCAAAAAGTGCACACTTTCAGTCCTATAGTATTATCCCAAAAAGTGTACACTTTCAGTTGTATAGTATTGTCCCAAAAAGTGTACACTTTCAGTTGTATAGTATTATCCCAAAAAGTGTGAAGTGTATCCACTCAGCTACTGAGGGAGCTTTGTGGCCAAGGCGCCGCTCCCAGCGGCTCTGAGAGGGAGGCGTGGGTGCGCGCGATGCCCTCGAGGATCTCGGCCTTTTCAAGGGGCTTCAATTCAAAGAAGGGTTTAAGGGGGTTTAGGAAGTTTAGGGTGTAGCGGTTTAGGGGTTTATAGGGTTTTGCTTAGAGGTTTAGGGGTTTTCTGGGTTTACAGCTGTTTTAAGTTGAGGGTTTAGGGTTCAGGGACTTGGGGTTTAGGGGTTGGGGGGTTTTGGGTTTTGTAGGGTTTAGAGGTCCCGGGCTCCGGGTTGTTGAAGCTTGGTGTGCCGGGTTTAGGTTTCGGGTCTGGGATTTAAGGGTCTCAACGAACCAAAAGCCCAAGTTTAGGCAGGCAGAATAGCAGAAACAGAAACAGGAATCACGACGGCAATGGACACATACATGCAGCAACAATGACTTGCAAGCGTGGGAATGTTAGCAATGGTGGTACAACGCTGAACATGCTGATGATAGTACGATCATTCTCATCCCAGCAAACTCCTAAGTACTAAACCGTAAAACCGAAGCCCCGAGCCCTGTAACAACCCCAAACCCTCGACCTTAAACCCTGAACTCTAAACTTCAAAGTCGGAGCTTTTAACGAACAAGCCCAAATGCCGAAAGATTCGAAGCCCCCGAGGCTGCATCCCCGATCCGCAAGGCCCTCACCCTTCGCCTTTTCGGCGTTCGACCCCAATGTTCTTCTTTAAAGGAGCCCTAATTCAAACCCCTTTTTGAGACCCAGTCGATCCCTTGAGGTTAAACCCCAAATTCCGGCCTCTTTCGCGCGCGACTCCGGCTTGTCATCACGGGATTGGCGAAGCTGTTGCAACCTGACGACTCTATAGACAGGCGGAGATTTTGGGCATTTTCGTACTACTTGCTACCATACTGTCCCTTTTTGGAGTCTGTCTGGGCTCTCAGGGCTCTCAGGGTTCCTTTCAAGGGGAAACCTAGGCCTTCAGTCCTTTCGTGATGTACAGCGTGAATGTAGAAACCTGATTAAGAAACCCTGGGCATTTGTTGGGGTTCCTTTTAGGGATCCTAATTACGATGTTGGGTTTATAGGCCCAGGGTTTCTTAATCAGGTTCCTACATTAGGCTGCTTTTTTATCCCTTCATGGATTGGTCACGGCTGGTTCAAGGACCCCTCTGCAAATCTTTCGCCCCAGCGCTTGCTTTGCCTTCAAAGGCCTCCGGGAATGGGTTCCCCAAAATTTCCCCGCTTGCGTCCGAGTGCCAATGATCCACAAGTATGTTGTTGAAGGCCTGGAACCCTGAAAACTCTTCACTCAGAAACTCTCGAATTCCAATTGTCTAGAGTCTAGAGCCTCTGTGCTTAACACATCTTGTCGCGCTAAGGCTCATGCGCTGGATGCAGATATCGAAGAGCTAGGTTTTCGATGCTCTTCAGGTTAAGGTTAACAGTCTACTACGTATCAATTCCAATGGCCCACAAAATTGAATACAACAGGGCTCTCTATTAAAGAATAAGGGAAACTAAACACTACTCCAAAACGATACCCAGGTTAGGGTTGAGTGTTGAGGATCAATCGGTGCCCCTTCGTGACGGCAAACGAATGCCCTCATCCCAACGCACTGCAGCCCGAATTTCACGGCTGGAAACCCAATGATATTCCGAGCCAGGCACATCCCTAGATAGTGTCACCGTCACCACCCGTGCTCAATGTGCTGCTACCAAGGCTGACATAACTAATTAGTTGGTGTTGGCTTGCGTTCATAGACCTTGGCTTCATGCAGTTGCTTAATATTATTCCTCAGGGTTCCTTCTTATAAGTATATATAGGTAAAGTATTCATGAGCTCAAAATCCCATTCTGATGTCGATGCTTTGATGCTCTCGAACCTGCTCGAAATTAGCTTGCACCGGTCGGCCAGAAGACGAGCTGGATGAATGATCCCATTAGCGCTCGTTTTGGGGTGTGCTTTGTGCATGTATGACGCCTATGCGCTCATATTCGGTATCATGTGCAAGTTTTGTGTGTGAGCACGATCGTGGGATCAGCTTTGAACAGCTTTCAATTCTTCGGCCGTGTGAATTTCAAGACGATCCGTTCGCTGCACATGGGAGTAACAGCTTGGCACTGACTGCCTGACCAGGAACAAAACCCGATGGCCTGCCCTGACAACCTGTGCTATGCCCAACCGAATCCCAAACCCCAAACCCGAATGTCACATTTGGCAGCCACCCTGAACCCCGAAACTCTGAATCCTTAAACCACACATCCTAAACCTACCTATATAGTCTCCATTGTAGTTCCTGTTGTTGGTTAACCAACATCTCTATTATAGGGTCCTAACCGTCCTAACCATATTACTGGTAAACCAAAAAAAGGAACTGCAATGGAGGCTCTAGGTAGAAGCCCCTAAGCCCAAACCCTGAAAGCAACTTGTTCTGCCAGGCTGCTCGCGATTCGCAGACCGGAGACTAATCCTGGGATGTGCCCGAAGCCATCTTTCGGAGTGGCTTCGGGAGCTACTTGTTGCTTGTAACAGTTGCTATACATGTTACTTTTTTTACTATGAGAGTTACTACAAGGATTATTTACCATGCCACTATGAGGGTTGCGATAAGGGCTACTATAGTCTCACAAGGGTTGCTAGAAAGGGTTACTATATCACTATACGGGTTTACTACAAGGTACTACAGGGTCAGGGGATTCGGATTTCACGGGAACCCCTGAAACCCTAAACCCTAAACTCCTAAACCACTAAACCCTAAACCCCTAAACCCTAAACCCCTTAACCCTAAACCCAAAGCCCCTCAACCCTGAACCCCTATAAACCCTCAGGGGTTTAGGGGTTCAGGCTTGGAACTCTAGAGCTTCATGCTGACACCTCGGGGCTCCGGAGTTCACCCGCGATGCTCTCAAGAACTGGGGCCGTTTAGGGTGTACCTTAACCCACCAGAACCTACTTTTTTGCAGGGCCCCTATAAATGCCATATTAGGGTTTATAACAAGAACCTACAACAAAGTAGGGTTTAGTAGGTCTATGCAGGGCTCAGGGTGCACCATGGCAAACCCTTGAACAGCCTGAGCCTCGCAAAAGAAAGCCAAAAGATCGCAGCAGGAAGTCCTGAATTCGAAATCTCCTGTGGATTGAGGGTCTAAGGTTTAAGGGTTTAAAGGTTCACGGATTTAAGGATTTAAGGGTTTCAGTGTTTCAGGATTCTAGGGTTTTAGGGTTTAGGCCGCCCAGACTCCCCCGCCCTTAACTCCCCCCAAACCCGCACAAACCAACAGGATCCCTAAACCTTGAACCCTAATCCCTAAACCCATGCAAGCGAGGAGCAAAAGGCTACCGCGATCCTGCGGGGAATTGGTTAGCCTGGCAGCTGCTCAGAGAAGGAAAAACTCACAATATCGATAACGGCAAGAAATAGTAGCAAAAATAGTCATAACAGTACTAGCAAAAATAACAATACTAGAACTCACACGAATAACGGCCATAAACATAAAAAACGAAACACGTGCATGTGGCTATTCGCCGCTGTGGAAGGTATATCGATTGCGTTTGGAAGGATGTCGAGCACAGATAAATGCGGAAGTGGTGAAAACACCGGCAGGCGCAGTGAGTTCGAGATGTTGCATCAAAAGTCAACAGGTGTAGATAAGAATGTAAAGACCATAGGGTTGGTCTTGCCAGAAAAAACTTGCCCTCTGAAAACAAGCAACACCACCGTAAATACCGGGTTGTTCGCTTCTTGACGCGCAAAAATCTATGCAAACAGACACATTCCGCCTCCGCACTGAAGACCAACACGCAGGAGCAGTCCGCAGGTGTATAAAACACTGTGAATACCATAGGATTCCACACTGCGCCAACTCCCAATCACCATCAGCATCATCAATGCCACGATCGTCACCCACCAAAACAGGGAAGCCGCGAATCGAAACGCAAGGAAACGAACCACAAGGAACCGCAAGAATACTGAACGGAACCGAATCGAACCGCAACGTCTGAAGTGTGAACCGCAACGCCGGCCGAAACGAAACGTAACGAAACCTGGACGAGACCCTCAACTTTGAACCCTTTACAGTTCCCCACGCTCCCTTCAGAGGATTCCACTCAGCCCCATAAAAGAAACCCGAACCGCCTGCGCGGGGGCCCGTCCGAGCGGCGGAGTACAGGGTTCCAAACGTTTTCAGGCCAGGTTAGAGGACCAGGGGACTTAGTAAGTGGGGTTATAAGTACCTTAACTGGGGTTATAAGTAGTTAAAAGTATAGTTGCCTTATTTATAGGATCATCATCAGCAGCATCATCATCTTTCAAACATCTAGGAGCACAGAAAATGTGACAACATACCAATATACAAAGCAGGTTGAAGGAGCTTATGCGAACAAGAAACAGCAGAGACCCACCATAGATACGTTGAAACAGCAACCTTCATGACCTTACACCCTAACCACTCTGGACATCTCCAAACCGTAGAGCCAGAGAAACAGTCACAAGCTGCTGGCATTCCAACCGTCTCTATGAGGTTTCTGAAAATAGGGACCCGAATAGCACCCCCTATTTTCGGAAACTCCCCAGGTGCTTTTGCTCTTGTTCACCGCTTGGCTGTGGGGTTAGCCCCAAAGCCCCTATACTATAAGTATACGACGGAACCCCCGAACATAGTACAGGTAATTATTGAAGCCTCTATAGTACTACATGCTGAACCCCCTCAGAGCCCTAAAACTCATGCCCTCGAAGCCTCAACTCGTCAAGACCCTGCCCTCAAACCCAAAACCTGAAAGCTCGAATGGCCAGTTGGGAAATTGGGAAAGGATCCGTCTGCGTATAGCCAGGAAGTCCTTCCCTCCAAGATTTGAGAGGCGGATCCTCCCAGTTGCAAAAACAATGCAAACCTTGATTCCTGTAGCCCGTACCCTAAACCCTAAGCCTTCAACCCTGTACCCCGAAGTGGTGCCTTGCCGGCTGCTGTTCTTCTGCCATGGCCTGCTCATAGGAAGCTCGGACACGGAAACGGGGGTTCATGGGATTTTAGGGTTTTGGGGTGTAGGTTTAATGTCTCGAGCTTGCGGTATAGAGTTTGGGGGCTTTTGAGTGTAGGGTTCTTGGGGTTGTGGGTTTAGAGTTTTGGAAGTGTTGGGTGGGAAGATGTAATGTGGGGGCTAGATAAGTATCGTCAGTTGCTGAGTTCATAAGCCCCCAAAAGTGTAAACTTTTAGCTTTATAGTGGCTCATATTATCCCAAGAAGTGTAAAGAGTAAAACCCCTCTGCTACTAACCAAGAGCTTCCAGGGAAGAGCCCGAAGAGCTCCTCTTACCAGCTACTCAGGCCCTAGATTCGGGAGTTTCCGAAAATTAGGGGTACTGTAGTTGGGGGTCCTTATAATTCGGATCCTGCGATTTAGTGTGCTATATTCGGGGTCCCCTATTTTCGGAACTCCCACATTCGAGTTCAGGACTGGGTCAGCGCTGGGGTTGCCTGGTTTGCAAGTAGTATAGGAGCCTTAATCATCAGAATAAGGTTTTGTGGCCCATTATACCTTGTTAGACTAAGGAACCCCTACAACAATGTTGGTAATATGTATTAGGCCCCTATATTCAATGGGTTTTGAGGACATATAGGTTCTTTCAGCCGTCGGCAAGTTCTGAGGCGAGCACCTTCCAGGAGTCCTCTACTTGCGCTATAAGGGGTCGTGTACGGCTTGGTAGCGTTCGAGATGGTTCGGGTACAGATTCCTATAAGGGTAGGATGAAGGGGTTCTGCAGAGTTTAGAAGGCTTCGGTATCAGGGTCTATGGCTTTGGAAATTGTTTAATTAATAGCTGTAGGGGCTTGGATACTTAGGGTAGGGCTGCGGGGTATATTACACCATAACTGGCAGTAAGGAGCCCTTAACCCCTAAACCCAAAACACTAATGCTTAGAACCCGCAGCAGTTATCGAAGTTGAATCTGAATCAGGTTTGGGCTTAATAGGTTTTATGGGTTTGGGCTTGGGTTTTTGCGGCTAAGCACGGGATCCAGGAATGGGAATCCGGACGACAGAGTTCACCGCTACCTTAAAACTTTAAACCCTGTGCCCTCAACACATGCACTATTGACTGTCAAACCTAAACCCTACATAAACACCTAAACCTTAAAGCGTACCCTAACAGCTAAACCCTAACCCCTAAACCACAAACCCAAAATAGCTTGAGCCCTGCCTCCAGGGCACCTCGTCTCGGGAGATGCTACGATGGGGCTGTCCCGAAGAGAAACAGGCCAAGCGAGAATCGCCGGTAGCTCAGGGTTCCGGGCGTAGGGATTTGGGTTTAGGGTTGAGGGTTTAGGGTTTAGGGTTGAGGGTTTAGGGTTGAGGGTTTAGGGTTTAGGGTTGAAGGTTCCGGGCGTAGGGATTTGGGTTTAGGGTTGAGGGTTTAGGGTTGAGGGTTCCGGGCGTAGGAATTTGGGGTGAGGGCTTTCAAGTCTCGGGCTTCGGGTTCAGGAGTTATGGTTTAGGTTCTATCTGCTCGGGTGTTTCAGGCCAGTAAGTTTTAAGAGCACGGGCTAGCTTGCTACTGCAGGCTTCGGGTGGTGTTCCAAGGCTTGCTGAGTGCGGGTATAGCTAAGTTGGCTGAGGAGATTGGGACAGCTATGCTCTTCGGGTTGAAAGAGATTTAGCATGTAGGCTTAGGTTCTGCCATGCTGGAGACCTCAACCCCAAAAAGCCCTAAACCGTATAAAACCCTGCACAACCACAAAAAGACTACAAGAAACCTGTACAACCCTGAACCCTTTAAAACCGAAAAAAACCTTGAACCCCATGAAACCCTAAACCCTACAAAACCCTATTAATTCCTAACCCCCTGAGCCCTATGTTCAAAGCTCCTGGCGGTACTCTCGGACTCTGTTCCGGCCGGGCTTGTATAGCTAAGGCTCAAACGCATCGATGGCTTAGGGTTTTGGTTTAGGGTTTTGTTGTTTAGGCGTTTAGGGCTTAGGGGTTTAGGCTTTGGGGTTTTAATAACGAAGACTTCGAAGATAGAAGTGTAGTAAGAAGATCGGAGTCAGAAGGAGGAATTCTAAGAATAAAGATAGAAGCAAGAGAACACCAAGCCAGTAGCACGACGATGAAGAAAACGAGGCCATCCCGTTCTGCTCTCACTTTTTCGCATCCAGACAAGCAAGGCACGAGGGTGCACTTTTGCTGGGCATCTTAGCCTTAGTAGAAGTTGGAAAATATACCCGTGGAGGGGCTGGGGAGAGCCCCCTCCAGGCGTTGTCCGGGCGCAAGACGGAAGCCGTCTGACCCTAAACCACAGCCCTAAACCCCGTAGGCCCCTTACCTAAGCCCATACATAACCGATAAACTCTAAACCCATGATCCCTATACCCTTAAACCCTCAATCCTGAACCCTAAAACCTAAACCCTGAACCCTAAACCCTGAACCCCTAAACCCTGGAACCCTGAACCCTATCTCCTCTCATAGCCTCTTGATTTGGTCCCCCGGAGCGTGGGCCCCCTGGGTCTGGAGCAAACTTGTCGTTTAGGGTTTAGGGTTTGGGGTTTAGGGTTTGGGGGTTTAGGGTTTAAGGTTTAGGGGTTTAGGGTTTAGGGTTTGGGGGTTTAGGGTTTAAGGTTTAGGGGTTTGGGGGTTAGGGTTTGGGGATTTAGAAGGTGAGGAGGGGTTTAAGGGTTTAGGGATTATAGGACTTAGGCACTGGAAGCGCAGTCTAGAGACCTGAAACCAAAGACAACAGGTGTTAGTAAGCCTAAACCCTAAACCCCACAAAGAACCAGCCCCCAAACTCCCGACGCCCCCTCCCACGTCTCCCGTTCTCCCGCATCCGGCAAAAGGAATCCAACCCCAACAACCTCGAAACCCTTCCCCTAAGGGTCCAAGTACCTAATAATCATGTACCCTGCTGAACGTAAAGCTACATAACTGCTATCCTAACCCAGGTACCTCATTACTGGGTCCTTTGGACCCTAAGGGCTCTAATCAGGGAATACCACTACAGGCAGCCATCTTCGTAGCCAACATAGGACGGTTAACAGTTCGAACAGAGCTTTGGAGCTTTGGGGCATCCACAAAGAATAATACTAACCACCAGTTATGTACGCTTTCCTCCCATGGCCCCTCTAGTACACGACTTCTAAGAAGCATCACCTTGTACTCCCAAAGCCCTCTTCGACCTACTAACCTAGTAGTAGTAGTAGTAGTAGTAGTAGTAGTAGTAGTAGTAGTAGTAGTAGTAGTAGTAGTAGTAGTAGTAGTGGTAGTGAGTGGTAGTGGTAGTGGTAGTGGTAGTAGTAGTAGTAGTAGTAGTAGTAGTAGTTGTTGTCGTCGTCGTAGTAGTAGTAGTAATAGTAAGGCCCTATCGTGTGCCACAGAAGTCCTTCGCTCCGGGGACTCTCGATCCGAATCTCAGGGAGCTCCACACTAACAGGCAGCTGTAGCTAACGAAGCCTTTCATGTTCTCTCCTCAGGGCTTCCTAGGCGGATAAGGATGTAAGGGTTTAGGGTTTAGCGCTCTAGAGTTGGGAGGGGGATAGGAGGGTTTAGGGTTCTATAGGGTTGGTGAAATATATAGGGGTTAGGGTTAGCGTTTCTCCCAGAGACACGTACAGGGAAGCGAGAACACCCGGGATCTTTGCTACAAAGCTATACTCTCGGCTCAGAGTCGTGTGTATGCTTCTCCCTGGTAATGTTTATAAGCCTGGGGAGCTCATTGAAGATCATCTAGGGTTTGGGGCTTGCAGTCAAGGGATGAGCCTTCATCGTCATAATGTAGGGGGGGGGCGAAAAGACTCGCAAAGCCCGAGTCTACCGATGGGTTGAGGCCTTTAGTATCCCTGGAAGTGAGCATTACGATAAGAAGAAGCCGGCTGCATCAGGCCAAGTTACGATCCCATTCCCTCACAAGCCTCCTTGATAGGCTCATGAAAGCCCTGCGCATCCCCAAGCCCTGGGATGTAGCAAGCCGTGGTGACCCCTGTGGAAGCAGCAACAGTGTGCCACAAGAGCTAGTTACTGACTGATGACCACTATGACCATTGCTTCTTAGTTGACTGTAGTAAAACAAGGACAATCGAAAAGCAGCGGTAAATGGGGAGGGCGCAATGTAGGGACTCGTTGCAGGAACCAACTTCGTCAGCGTCTGCCACCGTCTAAATGTGTAAGACAGCTCAACCAAAATCAAAACGGGGGAAGCTGCCAATTGGCAAGATTCCCATCGGCAGAATCACGCAGCAGATTTCAACGCTGTTGCCACATCCTGGCGAGCGTCACAGCAGTTAGAGGAGGGAAGCGGTGGATCAAAGAGGAAACTGCAACGCGAGCTGCCGTAAATTGACGAATAACATACAAATCTGAAACACAGGAGTCCGAAACCACTAAATGCATGCAACATAATCATATATGCATATGTACACGCACATATATATATATATATATGTATACCTAAACCCAGCAACACTTCCAAAGCTCCGGCAGTCTGAAGCACCGATTCCCAAGAGCCTCGGCTCGCTCCATCGTGTAGCCCACAATACCTCCTTGAGATCGGACCATCTCAATCACCGCGGCCTAGACAGCAAAGCGAATGCTGCAGTTCTTCGGTCCGCTTCCCAGTATTTTGCACGGGGGCTTTTTATGTCTTGAAGGGAACTCCAGAAAGTTGGAATATGGTTTCATGGAAGGATACCCTATAATCTACCATAGAAGGGTTAGGATAATCATATTCCAACTTTCTGGCTTTTACCGTAGGTGTGTATCTAGGGAGGCAGGGTTGAAGGTTTGGGATGCCAGAACCAAGCCGCCTAGCTCCGGGAGAAACTTCCAGACTCAAGTTTGTATGCCCTCCTACCGCGCTTCAGCATGGCAAAGGAACCCCTAAGGGTCCAAAGGACCCAATAATTAGGTACTCGGGCTTAGGATAGTAGTTATGTAGCTCAATATTTAGGAGAGTATATGATTATTAGGTACTTGGACCCTTATGGGAACAT